GACCCCACAGAAAACTATCACACATCCTTCCAAATGAGATCAATTCAGGTAAATTTTTAGGAATTAAAGCTTTATGACAGTGTGTTCTCTTATAAGAAAACTCATTCTAAACAATTTTTCTGTGACTGAGATTTGCATCAAGGGTTTGTAATAAGTGTTAGGCAATGACTACAAAGAAGGTCAAGAAAAATAAATGAGTTAGGAAAGGAATCACAGAAGCTGTAGTCTGTGGCTCTTTTGTTAGGTGCCAGTCCTTGTGTGCATTCCCTGAGTTTACCAATGATGCCTGGCTCTTATCTCACGTGGTGTTATAAGATTTTGCCAGCGAAGCTCCAAAGACGTGTTCTAGTTCTAGTTCTATCACCCCGTGTCGGAATTTGCCATACTGTTATTGATCCCGCTACAAGCGAGAAGGAAGATTTGACATCTCAAAGACATCAAGCTGTTGGACACAGGTGTGCGGCCTCTGATGTGGTTTCACCACCCCTCCGAGCAGTTCATCTCAGCTGCATTCATCTAGCAATCGCTTGAACAAAGGCATGCCAAATAGAATGCTCAGAAGAGAGATCCTTTTCAATGTCCCCAAAGTCCCTGTTTAAGACATACTTCTCAAAAGGGTAGAGGAAGGATTAAGGATCAAAAGCAAAAGGAGGGGAGCTTTGATTTAATCACTTGCATATTTATTTTCCTAAAACGTGTGTGTGTGCGCGTGTTAAGCTTTCAGCTTCTTCTAGCACAGTATAGGTGTTGACAGAGGCATTCTGCTTTTCAGCTGTGATAAAGTCAACCTCTAAACAAAGCCTTGTTTTTTTTTAAAAAAAACAAAGCTGGCTTTGGGATTTTTTTTTAATGACCCATGCTGATAATTCAAAGCTATTCAAATACTGCATCGATGAGAGCCCAGGGCTGCTAATCACAAGGCCAGCCATTGGAAACCACCGGTCAGTCTGCAGGAGAAAGTTGAAGCTTTCTGCTCTGGCCAAGATTTCCAGTCTCGGAAAACCACGGTTCTGCTCTGTCGTGAGGGTCACTAAGGATCAGAATGGGCTGTATGACCATGAGTCGCTTTGGGTTTTATGGTGCCTCCAGATGTGCTGGTGGCATAGTCGGTCGGCACTCAACTGCTAACCACAAGGTGAGCGGCAGTACTTTGCACCCACCTGTGTGTGAGGCACGCAGCAGAAGGGTGCGGCAGTCAGCTCCTGCGCAAACGACAGGCGTGGGGACCCATGGGACTGTCCTGGGTCCGAATCCAATCAACCGCGACACGTTTGCTTTTTGGTTGATACTGCATCTCAAATATGTTTGGGTAGGATACTCATTTCTTTATTTTTTTTAAGATCGCTTCTAATTTTTACCTTCAGAGCAGTATAATTAGCATGTCCTGGCACATCTGTTTGCAAACTTGATCTGTTAAGCGTATCTTGATTCTTCTCGTCTTTTAAAATCAAAATCTTTATCTTTTTACTGTAATTATTGTGTTTCCCTAAGTGTGTTTTTCAGAAGAGTTATCTCATTCGGTTCTTTTCCAGAATGGAAAAGTGTTTGGAAAATGCTGCTTGAAATAGGTGTCTCCCCGTTTCACAATTTAGCATGTTCAACCTCGTGGAAAAGCTCGGCAGGAGAGGAGCCTTACGTTTTACCCAGTCAGTTATGAACGTGGAGAAAACCCACTCTCGTGCCCACGGAGACTACTTGATATATTGGACACCCAGTCGCAGGCACATTTCGCATTGTATTGCACTTCCCAGCTCCTGCCTGTTGTACACCTTGACACTGTGAGGCGGCCCTGTGTCGGGGAAGTCGATGGATGCCATCTTTTATTTGTCTCACTTTGTGTCTCGGTGGCATCTTCCGGTAATTGGGGCAGGATTTCCAACTTCTTCCTAATGCCATGGCACACTGAAGAGACCGCAGCATGGTGTACACGTGCTGTTATAGGCACTGGTGAAGTTTTAAAAATCCTGGGACTCACTTTATTGCAGTGGTCTGGAACTGACCTCTAGAACCAGAATTTCTCCGTGCATGTGCTGGTTTATCAGCCAATCTATTTCTTTCTTTGTCAGCATCTCCCTGGTTGCCCAGGTGCCCAGGGGACTTGAGGTCTCACTATTTAGCAGGTGTAGGTAATTGGAAAGTCTATTAACTGTGAAGTAGAGGATATAGATGGGTACTGAGAAGAATGACCTTCCAGAAAGAATGACCTCTAGGTCAACGTATTCCCTTCGGGGCCTCGCAATAGACCCCAGCCTTCTCATTGGAGCACATTTCTTGGGGCGCCTCTGTTGTACTAGCCCTTACCTTTTGGGGTGCTATCCTGTGCAGGAGGTCTTTAAGAGAGAGCCCATGGTGGTAAAGGTGGAATAGCAGTCCTGTGGAGCTGGTGTCTATGAAGTCTTACCAAATGGATTCCAAGTATTTAATGTTGTCAAGAGTTTTGCTACCACTGTAACAGTTCATGCTAATTGATAGTTTTTTTCCCTGACGCCTGTTAAGTTCTAACAATAATCTGTGTTCTTCTTCTCTTCTAGTTCTTTGGGGCACCTTAGAGCATCACTGGTGTATGTCATTTGAATATATAAGAGTGGATCATTGCCCCACCCCCCAACTCTATGCAATATAGTACAACACCATAATGTTTCACTCATTAGTTCTGCTGTAATTGGGTATTATATCAATTAGCAATTGAGCTTTGTAGAATCAAGGGACTGGAGATGGAACAGAAATAATGGAAGAGACACGGGAGATGTGGATTGATGGGAAGACGATTTTATAATAAGAGAAAAAGTGACCCAGGTAGCGTAACTTCGCTTGGAGGACATTTGTCAGTGTCAGTCTGTGCCAGCCACTCCGGGTCCTCTTGTCATGTTGGGGTTTCAGGGTGTCATTTATATACATACACACCAATAAAGGTGATCCCACATAGAGTTCCTAAAGAATCATCTTCAGTTGCCTCTGTGGAGTATGTTTTTTCTGGGAGTGACAATTTTCACTGAATAGCTCAGAGGTGAAATGAATAGTAGGAGTATGAGAAATCCCTCCATAGCAAGATTCCAGTTATTCCACTTGGAAAATCCAGCTTTTATCTCCAGAACAGTGTTGTCCTCTCCTTTTTTCCATTTGCTTATGTCGTTGTTAACTTCTTAATTATTATCTATGAAAGCAAAGACCAGTGAAAGGTTGAACTGGAGAGGCCCGTGTTATGAGTGTAAAAGTGCCCGAGTCCAAGCGTAGACCGGTTGGGGACAGAGGGTCTGGAATATCTCCTAGAGAGCAGTCACTTGCTGGTTGGGAGAGACAAGCGTGGTCGTGGAGCGGGGCTTGAAGACATCTGATTCATGAATAAGCCCTCCTGTGAAGTAGTTGTGGAACGTTCTTCAAACAATCCTTGTTCTCAGGGTGAGACTTGTTTGACTGGGCAGTTCCGAGACTGACCCTGAAGATGACCAATGACTTATTTGAGTTACACAGAAATTTTCTAGTCCAGGGATGTTTATCTTACCTCTCTTTAAAAACAAAAGTGTATCTCTTTTCCATGCCCTTACTTCTTCCAAGAAGCCTTAAACGATATACTAATCTCCCCTGGTTTGTAATATCATCTAAACCCTTTAAAAGTATTGAATTGACTCTTTGGTAGTTATCATGTACTGAGCTGTATCAGTACTTATTTTAGGAAAGATGGTCTTCAATTCCCAGCCATAGCATATTCTTAACTCCAGAGCCACTTGGTGTATATCGTTCTTGCTCCAGAGTCAGGCCCCAGTAGACTTTTAATGAATGGTAGCAAAATGGTTAACACAAATATATTCTACTTGATTTTTATGGCCTGAAGGTGTTTGCAAATTATATTAGAAAGTAATTTTTTAAATTCTGTTGTGGGTTCTTCAAGCATTGTAATTCACATCTCCATCATTGTATTTTAACATGCTTTACATATTTGTCTCTTTCGTTTCCTCTCAAACAGAGCTGTTCGACTCTTCACATTAAGGCTTATTCAAAGTAACAGATTCTTAGGAGTACTGCTTATGTGTCGTACCTCAGCATTTAGCAGAATGACTGGAATCTATTTGGAGCTCTCTAAATATGAGTGAATGAATGAATTGGCCTCCCCCCACACACAAAGAAGGATGTAGAAATTCTGCATCTCTCTTCTTTAAGTGGTAAATAGGCCAGCCTCGGAAAAGAAGCGTATGGCCAAGGCTAGTGTTCCTGGATTTAAATTTCAGTGGTCCATTTATCAGCTGTGTGACCTTGAACAGGTCACAATGTTTCTCAGCTCTTTCACCAATTACAGATAATATTCCCTACTGTACATTATTGTAATGATGATCTAATAAGAAAATTATTCTGAAATATACAACAGACCTTTGTAGAGAAGGGGATTAGAGCCATTTTATTCCATTATTGACTAGGGGTTGGCCAAAGGGGTGAGAATCTGCAGGCATCATAAAGGAAATGCCAAAGACATAAGGTCCTCAGAGGTCTGGCTTGCTTTACAATGGGAAAGACCACTGAATAAGGTTGTGAAACTTCAGTTTTCTTCCTTTTAAATAATAGGAAAAGACAGAATGACCTTTGGAGGCACCGGCCTGCCATATATTCTATGACTCATGAAAGAAAACTCAATCTTAAATAAAATTAGGAGACCCTTCTTTTTCACTGTGAATAGGAAAAGTTTAGAAATATCAGATCTAACTGAAAATACTTTGGTCAAATTCAAGGGACACCCTCATCTCCTAATCTTTTAAAATTAACTACATTTTTAATGCAGTGTGCCTACCGCATCGAGATGGAGTTTTAATTTTTACCAATTCAATTTAAATGCAAATGTTAACCACTCACATGATGCTACTGTGTACATAATTAAGCATCATTATATACTACATGAATCATTCAGAAACCTCCAGAGAGCCATTCCAAAATGTAAAACGTGCATTATTCTGACAGGCAACCAAATGACGTATACTTCTGTCCTCATTAGTGCTCCTTTTGAATTATAGGTCAACGGATTATGGGACCACCTACGAGAAGCTGAACGATAAAGTTGGGTTGAAGACAATTCTGAGCTATTTGTACGTGTGTCCTACCAACAAAAGAAAGGTAAGCAGTGAAGGCCCAGCATGCCTGCTTTTCACGCCGTGCTTCTGTCTTGGCTGACTTCTCTATCTGCCTCCAAGTCCATTAGAGGTAAACTGGGCTTAGAGATGCAGAGAAGGCTTGATGGAGGCTAAGGAGAGAAACAAGTCTGCCACATCCTAATTTTCAAATCAGCAGCTGTGAATGTGAGAGGGCCCGGGTAGATGGGCCATTCGTGTTTCTGAAAGGCAGCCCTGGGGTGGGCTTTGTGGCATGATTACTGCTGCCTCTCTTGTAAGAGCGCTGACCCATTAGTCGCAGGGGTCAGGGGCATCTGAAAAAGACAGCAGAAAAGCTGGACCTTCTGTCAGATTTTCTATTCACCCTCCAACACTCCTGACCTAGAGTCAATAGTCTGAGTAGACTTTACGTGACTCCATCGTCTTGAAGCAAGTTGAAGCTTTCATTTCTAATATTTGGCCAACCTGGCTCCAAACATCCAGAGAGAGGCACTGTATTTGGAAGAAGACAGGAGTTCCTTCAAAAGAACAGCATGATTGACACCTTTGGGGAATGGGCCTTGGTCAGAAGGGAACTTGGAGATCACCTTTACATACACCCCAATTTTATATCTAAGCAAAGCAAGGTAGAGAGTAAAGAGGGGTAGGTACCATTGTGACTAAAAGCCAGGTGTCTTTGCTGGCAGTCAGTACTATTGACACCAGAGCATGCTGCTCCTATTAAGAGGGCTTATCAATGGCTTCAGATAAATTATTGTCCAAGAAGAAAAATGGTTTGCTTTCTATAAGAAAGATCTGTTGGTCTCAGAAGGAAGATGGTGTTATAGCCAACCTTTTGTTTATATGCTAGCATTCTCAAATTCTGAGCTCTGACATCATTTCCACGTATAACCTGGGTTACAGGAACTTACTGTGGCCTTCCAGAAATTAAAAAAAAAAGAAAAAAAGCCCTGTGTAATGATATGTCCTTTATAGGATTTTGTTTTGACCATAGGCCCAATACCTCGATACTCATCTTATATCTATCACTAGCTACTATTTGCAATTTTAGATGGGTTATGCATTTCTGAATCTGGAACTGCAAAAGATGGACTTAAGACATCCCCACTGCAGTCCTGCTCCACTCCATTGTACATCAGAAGCAGGAGGTTGTGCATACCCTGGCCCCACTTCCATTGATCTGGAGAAAAGCTCTGATATTCATGTCTTCAGAAAGCTCCCAGATGTTCTTTCAGATGGGTTTACTAGCTGTTACGTGTCATGTTCCCTCTGGCTCTTAAAGACTTTAAGTTCTCTGCTGGAATTACTATACCTTATTAATAGAGCATAGACTGTAGTCAGTTGGCTCGAATGAAAAACACAGCCATGTCACAAACCAAGTGTGTTAACTATGCTGATATACTTAATCTCCCTAAGCACTGTGCCATCAAAATAAATGGAGATAATTATAGTGCCTACCTTATAAGAGAAATTGTAAGGATTACATAAAGTAAGGTACTTCAAATGCTTAGCCTAGAATAGAAAAGGCTCAATCAATATTCTCTCCCCTCCTCTTTTCTCTCTTTTTCTCATCTTCTTTCTCTTACTTCTTATAATTATTGCAAGTAATAGTAGTGATTATACTTCATAAGAGGCAACGTTGATGATGGAAATATTTCTCTTAAATTTTATGATCCCAAAGTCACTGGCCATCTGTGATGATGGAACACATAAAATATGGCGAATGTGAGCGATGAACTATACCTTAAATTAAAAATATATATATACATATTTAGATTTAAATGGCCATGTGTGGCTAATTGCCAATACTGTTGAACAGTAGAGCTTAAAAGTGCCAACCTCACAAGTTTAGAACTGTATCCTATATATTCTTATCTGATCCTTACTGGTGGATTACTAGCTAAAAGATCTTGATTTACCATATAACAATCCATTGATCCCTGGTGATGCAGTGGGCTCAGTATTGGGGTGCTAACTGCTTCCAAAGCACCCGCCGTGCTATAGGAGGAAGATGAGGCTGTCTCTGCCTGCAGAGATTGACTGTCTCAAACGCACAGGAGCCGTTCTCCTAGGTCCTAAACGGTTACTACAAGTTGCAGTGGACTCTATGGCAGTGGATTTGAAAGGTGCATACCCCAAATTAAGGCACCGGGAGTACACTCTTTATTTTTGTAATGAAATTTAGTTATAGTTCTTGGGCTTGGATTGATTTTTATAATTCCTATAACATTCTCTTCTAGTCCAGCAATCGACCAATTATCATTGGCAGTGTGTTATGCTCTGCAGCATGCAAAGAGAATTAAGCCATTGCCCCATCTTGCAATGGCTTGCATTCATGTAGTAAATACCATATCGCTATTCGTAGTAAAACGATCACTCAACGTAGAGTCAGGAATCTAAGTGCTGGCATTGATTCTGCATTTATCTAACAGGTGACGGGGGGGGGGGGGTGAACCATTTAACATGTCCAAACATTTTCTTTTCCATTTGTAAAGAGAGAGAGACAGAAACGCCCCCTTTACTGTGGGGAGATACCTTACAGATTGTTCTCATCTGTTGGTGGTTACTATTCTATGGGTATAAAATAATCATATTAAGAAAATGCCAATAATAAATGTAATGATAGGCTGTTCTGTAGCTGCTGCATAGTGTGCTAAAGGTCTGGAGACTTGAGAGTCATTTGAAAAATAACATAAGGAAAAAAAAAGAAAAATAAAGCTAAGGCTCTCGTATCTAGATGCGTCTACTAGGGCTGGCAGCAATGTGGAGAGAGAATACTGCAGGGGGCCCCACCAGAGGAGCTGGTCATTTAATGGGGGGTTGTTAGCGACTATTGAATACATCAGGACTGATGGAGACCCCGTATGTGCAGAGGAGAACGGCTCCCCAGGATTTTCATGGTCTTTTGGAGAAGTCCCCCAGGCCTGTCTTCTGAGGATCCCTTGGGCATATTTGAACCACCAACCTTCCAGCTAGTTGGTCAGGGCTTAACTATCTGTGGCATATTAATCAGGCTGTATAAGGAGACTTCACCCGCAGGACTTTAAGAAGGGCCTTTGGCCGATCTTGGCAGATTGTAGCTCCAGGGGAAAGAGCAGTCACTGCCATGGTTCAGAGCACAGCTTCCTCTGGGCCTGTTCCCTTGACTGAAGCAGAGGCAGTCACTTCCAAACCGTTTAAATCACCGTGTTTATGGCTGAAACTAAGCAAAGGGATCTTTTCCTCTATAGATAAATGAGGCCTTCAGGGTCATTTTGTGAGATGCTGATAGATTTAAGAAATATTGGGAGACGATGAAGGTCTTTACAATGGTGCAGAAATCAATAAAGTTGACATAGCAGTATATTTGTGTACAGTTTTTCTTCCTACGAGATCAATTTATCACTCTGAACTATACACCACCACCCCCATTTCCAAAGGGACATACTTGAACTAAAGAGATCGTACCTGCACAAAATTTTAAAGTGTGAATGTCTTTCCTCTAATCAATAGCACGCTACATAAAAAAGAAGAAAAAGGATATCTAAGACTCTATTAATTATGCTGGACACAGGCCCCCGCGTTCACTCTAACTCTCCTAGGACACAGCTCTGACCTCCAGTGAAAAGGGCAGGTTCCTTTAAGGCATTGTATTCATTCCTTTCATTCCCTGGGGTGCTCTCTTGCAAGTTAACATCTCCTGTACCAAGCGCTTCCCTGTGCTTCTCCCATCAGTGGGAATAACTGGGATAAAGCTGACAGCATCAGGCCAACTGTCTCATGTTCCCCAGAAACCTGTCTGGGCCTTCCCTTTCATGTACTCTTTTTAGTGGCCTGTGAGGACAACTGTATCCAAAGTGGGCATCATGCCCTGACTTCGCAGGCGGCCTGTTAGGGGCATCCTTGGGCTCCGAGTCCAGAACAAAGCTACCATTATTTACGGTTTAAATTGATGATTTAAATTGGCAGCTTCTCCACAAGCCTGCTGTAAAGTATAGCAGCTTTCCTTGGATGCATCTGCTCTGGTAAAAACTGTAATCTCCTCATGTGTCAGTCTGGGGAATCTTGAATAACTGTGAGACAGCGCATGTCTGCTTGCAGGTATTTATTGGTTCATTCATACTCTCTCTCCTGGAACAAACTCAAACCGCTGATATACGAGAGAGGCCCAAAAGAACAAAAATACTTAGACTCAGTACCCAAGGAGAAGGCAGGACAGCTATCTATCACCATGGCTCCGGGGGAGACCGTTGCCCCCACTCCGCCCACCCCCCAGTTTGTGATAAATCCCAGACTCCTGGATGTCAGCAATGGTTTCTTCGCTCCATGCATAGAGTCTGCTCTGTGAAAAGCTGACTTAGCCCTCACTGAAAGGGACAGTTGGGATGGAAACGGTGAGCGGTAGAAGGTAATACAAATGGCGCAAAGGAAACAAGGGGGGTGGGGCATCAGTGGGCGGGGGCCATGGTCTTCCGCTTACATTTGCAACTGAATTAATTTGCATTCTGCCTATAAAGAAAACTGCTTTATACTCTGCGTGCCTCTGTCAGCAATACCTTTCCACACCACCCCCCAACAAGCCTGAGCCGTTCTCCCATCATAGGGTGTTGTATAACACTTTCAAGGATTAAAGACTACAAAATCGCAAGCGGGAATCATTGGGAGAATAAAGAGGGAGGGGGCTTTGTGTGTGCTTGTGTTTTGTCATTGAAGTTGGAGCAGCCAATTCCTTGTCATTGTTCCAACCTTGTGCTCCGTGCATTCTACGTTCCTGGTGGAGCAAAAACCTAGAGCGCACTGTTCTTTTCCTTTCCTACGGCCCCTCCCATTCCCGGGTTCTTTCCCATTTCCGTGTTATTACCCCTTAATTAATATCATTCCTGCTGAGAGAGCCTTCCGTGACTTTCATCCTATAAATAGGATCAGGATCCTCAGAGCACATTGATCATTTCTGTGGGTCTCCCGGTACATGCCAACATTAAACACTGTTTGCATTTTCTCCAGATGTTGAGATTTTAATTACCA